ATATGATTAGGTTATTACGCAATACTCCTTACAAGAAATTCAGAGAATTATAAGACGATACGAACAGAAAAAAAGTTGATTCCCACAACTTTTTTATTTTTTTTTAATGGCGTAGAACTGACAAATCATCGTTGAGTGGCCACTGCAAAGAAATTTCTCATCTTTGTTTCCTTTTTTCGATTGCTCAGCAATGTGTTTTCACAAGTGTACTTCTATACAAATACATGTCACTCTATCCTAGTGGCCATGATAGTACGTGTGTAGTTTTTATCGATTATTGTATGATGAAAATTCTGTACGTTAAACCATCGTTATTGCGACCATTTTTGGGATCTTGTTTGTGGTAGTTCGCTGTTCTTCCTCACATTTCTCCTATCATTTAATTCTACAGTGGAGTCTCCAGATGTCATGATAAAATGGTGTTTCCCCTATTCTACTTTCCAAGTTTGTTAATGCTTCTATTCGTTTGAAAGAAAGCGAGTTTTTTCTTTGTAGCTTATGATTTTACATCTTCTGATTGTCGACCCACCCAATGGTTGCTTCCGAAAATTTGTATTTCTTGGCAGGCTAACGCGTACCACTTAGTCAATATGGTGCGAAGACATAAAAATAAACCGAAAGAGAACACATCTCCAGTGATCGTAGAACTTGACAGCGTGCAGGGTCAGAATGGTGCCGATCAGTGGACTGCTATCGAAAATGGGGAGGCAGTTACAGCGAGTTGGTTTTTCAAGCATAATCTTATCATAAAGTCGTTAAATTGGAAAGAATAGGTGACTTCAAAGTAAAAAACTCTATTACCCTCTGAAAAAATTTCAAAATGCCTGTTATTTTGTTACAGTATAAGGTCCATCTTTTGGTACTCCCCCGGTTATGTAACTTCGCTTTACCATTTAGTGTAGGGGCAAGCAAATAGGAACACCACGCTGGTAATCCCAATCTCAGTAGGTCCGGAATATATTCATTCAAAGCGGATAGAATATGCTTGTTTGGTGTTTGTGTT